GCACTAGACCCAAGTAGCATTCCATTCTTTAGAACCAAAACTAGAATTTGGGAAAATTAACTTTGCGGCTCTATGTTGTTGTCTCTTGAGGGCATCAGAGTTAACTTTTCCACATCCGTGCCAAGCTTCATCACAGTAGTCAAAAGTAGGTAAAATCATTGTCTTGTAGAGGCGTTCAGCTGCAGCCATGGGAATAGTGATTCTCACATGCCAAAAAGCACCCAATTTCCTGGAGACCTTGTTGACTACGTGCTTGTCAATCATGACTCCAAGATATTTGAAAGAATCAGATTCTGTGAAAGGAGATCCATTAGAGGACAACATCACATTCCCCTTCCCTCCCATGTGTGACCATGAATTACACATTCAGTTCAGCTCGTATTCAGAAAAAGCTTATTTTTTTGCATCCACGAAGAAATAGGGTTGGCAAAAAATAGCACTGATTACCCTAAAATCCCTATTTATATTATCATAAATGTTTATCTTTCCTACAATGCCTGCATACAGCAGCTTTTGTTGTAATTGGAAATAAAACAGTCTTTGTACACTGTTCCAATGAAGCTTCGAGGGGTTTTTTATTTGATCTATATTAAAACTTATCTTTGTCAGCAGTCAAAAATTATCATATAGTATCACCTTTTCTTTTCCTTCTCACCTTTAAATCTTTGAGAAATTATTTAATCTTCCTTTTCAGAATTGTTTAGAAATGGAATTTACCTTAAGACAAATAGGGATTTTCTTTGTTAGGTACTATCATTCATGGCTCTAATTGAACAAAGGATGTATTTTCACAGTCATTAGCTTATGATCTCTGTTGGATGGTAAGAAAAAAACTTAGTATGTATGAAATGAAAATATCATACCAAGGAGGGTGCTTAATGAACAATTTTAATCTTCTTGTTGCATTGATAAAAAACTCACTTGTTCACTGCACTCACACATTTATTAATTTTTTTATTGATGCAATAAAATTCATTTGAGCACACTTTCCATGGAATAATCTCTATTTGTTACAGATTTAAAAACATTTCTTGGGCCCCATATTTCTAAAAGTTAATTTCCTTTTTGCATGAGCATGATTGATTTAACATTTTTCGGAATACTGTGGAAAATGATATTTATTAAAACAAATGTTAGCCTAGTATATTGTAATGTCAGTTGTTAGGTTATTAATATTAACTTTACTTTACCATTCCACTTCTTCCACACCTTCTCTTTATTATCATTTTTCTCTTCCACATCTATTTCATCAAAAAACAATACTTGGTATGAACAAGTCTATTAAAAATACTGCACAAGTTCTATAATTGTATTAGAAAAGGTCTCTCTGAAGTGACAATACTGAACCAAGTCATAGTAACATTGCAGAATTATGAACTTTTACTTTATTAGAAATGGCCAAAGGAAAACAGTTTGCTAACCAAACATCATTTTGTATTGCTTAGACTTTAACAGGAAAGTTGTATTTCAAGGATGTTATAGTGTCACTTTTCCAACCTCCTTCAGAGTGGAAAGACTATTCACTGTTTACAGGTGCATGACATTTTTGGAGTCATAGCATTATAGAAGAAAAGAAAACGTCATTTTATAGTTGACACTTACCTAAATCACTGCCTGCAGTCCTTCCGGTAGATCTTCGTCATCTGTTGAATATACAGTAAACTTATGTAATTTTCAATTTGAAAAAAGGTATGTTATTTAAATCATGGTAAAGGAAAACAGTGAGCTAACCTAACAAAACTTCATTGCACAGAGTTTAACAGTGAAGTTGTGTTTCAAGGATGCCATGATGTCACTTTTCCAACTTCTTAAAGAGAGGATAGACCATAAATTGTTTACAGATGCATGACATTTTGTGGAATCATAGCATTATGGAAGAAAGGGAAAATAATACCCAAATCTCCACCTGAAGGAGGTGGTCCTTTTAGTATATCTTCACCATCTGTGGTACAACTTACATTAAACTTATGTAATTGTCAATGTGAAAAAAAGTTATTTTATTTAACATCAAGGAAGAGATGTGTTGTGAAAAATATTTTGTCAAAATTGATCATCTAAATTATGTTTTTGTCATCTGGTTGCAGAATAATTTATTGAATATTATATTATTTATTATGCATATGTAATTTTACGAACATTTAAATCTTATTCTAGTTTCACTGTTGTGGTTTAAGTAAGTTAACATTCTGTTATAAAACTAGCACTCACCTTGGTCTAAACGAAGACCATATGAGGGAATAAATTGAAATGTTTCCACTTTAATTGTGTAAATGAGTTTGTCACTTTAATTTTAAATATTTTCGCGGTCAGGAATCAGTGTCTTAACTTTTAAGGGAAATGAAGGAAATCAGACAAAAAACGTAACATGCGTGACGTGAAATGTAAAATCGAATCTCGCGATGTTTTTCTTTTCTCTTTTAGATAGTTTAAATTTTTTTATTCTGACCAACCTTCAGATAGCTTGTTTCTTCATCTGTTACTCCTCCGATTGCCACATCACAGGAACTCGTATCATTTGATGCTAGTTCAGCAACAGAAAACCAACCCAACCTGTGGTTCTTACTTGCATCAGAAACTCCAGTCTGTCCGCGGACTCATTGAAGGTGTAGGAAACATTGCAATTTCCTTTGCCATCGAGCACAATCATGTTGGAATAAATGTTGTGCATACTGCTCTTTGTGTGGAAGCCACAAACAGCGCTAAAATACACAACTGAACAACAGCCATTTTCCTCGTTAAACACTGGCCTCGCCTTCTCTGAGGAGAACAGCAGCCATGAATGAACGAGCATTTTCGTTTTTGTCCGTTTTATAGCCTTTTTTTTCTAATTACTTACATAGCTAATATCTGTCAGTGGTATATTTCGTATTTTTACCTTTGTTTTGGCCTCAAATCAAGCTTAGTGCGATAACAGAGAACAGGAAGCAGCAATTAGAGAAAAAGAAAAAAAGATATGCGAAGAGAATATTCAAGTGGAAAGTTTTAAGTGATAACAGAATGAGAAATCACGGAAACCATTTTTTTTTCTGACTTAGATATTTCTTTTAACGGTAAATCTGAAGAGATAAGAATGAAGTTAAAGAAGGGTAGAAAATACATAGGTAAAAAAGTGACGTCTTAACCCCAGTGGAAATTAGTCAATGCAATCTGAGAAACATTCAATATGCAAAATCTATCTAAATTTAGGCAATTGATGTTCAAAGTGAGGCTTCAATTTTCAAGATAAGCAAACAGTGACGTGACTCGGTCAAATTTCCTGAATTAAAGAGTCATCACATATATTGACAACGGTTTTAAACGTTAAATCAAGTACATGTGTATTCAAATTGGGGAAACTTTGTGTCAGTATTGGTTGAAAACCTAGGTAGTTAATTAATTTACCCTACTCGACCAATACTGTTCCAATGCAGGACTCACGCTTTAAGACTTCTTGCCTTTTTCAATGTACTTATAGGGAAGAAAGATGGGATTCGGGATGGTGATACACGAAGGTACGGGAAACGGGATTCTACTAAAAAACGAGCGGGAATCAGGAGCCCGTCGATGGGCTCCTGGCGGGAATGTGGGATCGAGAACCCCCCCCCCTCCCCATCCCGTTTCCCGTACCTTCTTGTATCACCATCCCAAATCCCATTTTTCTCCCCTATAAGTACATTGAAAAGGCAAGAGTTTTTGTACAAAAGGAAATGAATGTAAGATTCAGATTAGCTCCTGCGATTGAAATTTGAATTTAAGTTACTGCTTTAAAAAGAAAATAAAGCTTTTTGTACCTCAGTATGATGAAAGAGCAAGATATGACAACTGCATGGGTCGTCCTGTACGCCTGTGGGCTGTCCTCGAAAGGAAGTACAGGAACGGTCTCGATCTCGTTTCCGTGGGTGGCACTGTCCTCATCGTCGCTGGAGTCTGAATCGTACTCAGAAAGCTGGTCATCCGCTGAGCTGAGTACCTCAGTGACTCGGTCGCCAATGGGTAGCTCTTTCCGATACATGTCAAATTGATATTTAAAATATTGAGGCCCTATTAGAGGGGGGTCTGAGTATCCCGTATCTCATTAATTTTTAGCCAAAATATCCTGTCTGAAGGTAGGTCGGAATAACAAAATTCTTGTGGCTCGTATCCATATAATGCCAGTAACCATGATGACGTCGTTAGGCGTGATATATTTGAGTAACTGATAAAAAACACATTTTCCTGTGGCGTTTCGTATTTCCAATAGAAATTAGGTGCAAATAAGACATCATGTTTATCGATGGTATGCTCGTATGAATGGAAGGGTAACAATAATTCTTTTATGTAGATAGCGGATTCAAACTGCCTCTCTGATGGAAATAAGTCCTTTGTGCATCTACCGACATAAAATTGTCTTGTGGGAGAAACGTTGGGTGATAGTCTGGCTTGATGATCACAAATGATGGCTTTTTAAACAACAGATGAACAGAATAATCTACTACACCTTGTTAAGTGGTTTCTTGTAAATGTTCAAAGTCTACAGGTCGAGCATGAGTTGGTTTTTCAAAATTTTTCTTATCTCTGCCAGCTGCAGGATGGTAACTGCGTTGTTTGGTGGTGGCCTGGGCATGACGGGGAACCTCGAAAAAGAAATTAAGGATCGATTCTGTTTTGTGTAATGTGATTAGGAACTAGTAAAGTAATTGAAGCCACACTTAGTATCTCGCTTCAAATGTTCTCTTAAGGTTAAAGAAAGCCTGTGAGAGATCTGCAGAACCAACGGCATTCATTGCAGAAAAGAGATCCTCCACAACAAGGGTAGCAAGTAAAGACAAGTCAAGGAAATTCAGGAATTCTGGCGAAACTTTATGGAGTAGTCAAACGACATTCTCCACAGTACTCAAGGTAAGCTCAAGGTCACGCATTGTTTGCGGTATACACACTCCATCTGGCCCTTGCAAGGTTCAGTTTATATCTGTCAGCTCTCGCACCTCTCTCTCGCATTGCACAAAGAAATTATTCACTTCTTGCAATGTTTTGATGACCTCTTAAGGTGGGATTCTGGGAACTTGACTTCGCGACTCATCACGTAGGCCTACACCAAATACCCTCCAAAACGTGTTTAGCTTCTCGATATATGCCAACAGACCAGCCGGCCTAGCAAACATCCTTACCATTTCAGTGGCCGGGTCGCAGACGAAGATGATATCAAGTTCTGTGCAACATGAAGTTGGTCGACTAAAAGAAGCCGTGGCGTCATCAGCCCGTTCATCGAGACTTGAACCAGAAATCACCTCTACAGCGATAGAGTTTCCATTCACGGACAAAAGCTTTACCTTTCTTGCTGTTACGTCCATAAAAGTAATCATACGGGAAGGCATGACAGCCATGGGCTTTAATACATTCAGGAGTTTCGTTCTTTGATAAGAACTTGGGAAAACAACGGGATTGAGGGAAGCGTTGTTGATCTCTGTTGTACTCATATATGATAGGATGCCGCCTGAAAGTGGATTAGATGGTGATATGTACACATAATCATCCAACGGAGCAATTTGGTAGGTCTGGCTCGGGCAATCGACTTTGCTAATTATAAAAGCTGTATTTCTAATACCATTCGCATACGAATTTTTCCCCAAAGGGCACCCGCAAAGGTGGGAAGTAACCTTAACCTAGGAAATCATTTAGGCAAAGTGCGTACTCTAACTTGTAATTTTTTCTTTCAGTTTAGCTGATGATTTTATATCAAGAACACAGTCAAGTAACAGTCTTCAAATTACTTTTTGGTACAAAATTAGTTACGGGTAACGGGCAGTTTTTGTGGTAGTATAATCCCTTTTTCAGTTTAATAGAATAGGTAGGAATGTAATTTCGATATTTTCTAATTAATAATTGAGAAGTTGATGTCTTGGAAGTTACAACACTCAAAAAAAATGTATTTTACATAGGTATTTTATAATTTTTAAATATGAAAACGAAAGTTTTTAAGGCAGAAGATTTGTATGATGACGTATCTGACGGGTGAAGACTAGATTTCTTTACGTTCGTGGAGAATTCTTTGTTTTTATCTCCTCTTTTTTCGCACTATGTACTTATTGTTTGATCGCGTGGCAAGGTCGGACGGGAAAATATTTGGTTCGAGGTCATGACGTACGGACCGAGTGCTTTGCCGTGAAACTCGTGGGTTTTGCTTTCTATACACAGATAAGTATGTTTAGCGGCCTACCACGATTTGGTGATTGTTTTCTTCTCTGACGGTTTACATGTATGATTTTCGCATAGCTATAGTCGCATAAATCCCTTAACGAACAGAAAGTGACATTAGGGGCCGTATACATGACATTATCTCGAGCCGCTGATCCTTTGGAACCCCAAGGGCATGATATTTCGTGAAGTGAAACTTATTGACTGCTGAGAAAATTGGAGCACGATTAACTGTGGTGTGTTCGAGAGTAGATAAAAACAAAGAATGACTTCGCCAGTAGCGAAGAGGAGAAGAAAGAACAGTAGCGAAGAGGCGAAGAAAGAACAGAGGCTTATTGATGCTATGTTTCTTTGTGACGAGTGGAAATCTTCGAAAGGTGGATTATCAACTTTCAATCGCGAGTTAGCCATTAATTTGGCAGAGATAACAACTGGTAGCATGAAAATCCACTGCTATGTCTCGAAAAGCGATGATCAGGATAGAGAAGATGCTAAACAAAATGGAGTGAATTTAATCACCGCTCAGACTGTTCCTGGGTCGCGAGATCCCTTAGATTGGTTGAAAGTTTTACCTCCAGAGCTTCCGCATCCGCATATTGTGATTGGTCATGGCAGAAAACTTGGAACTCCAGCATGTCACATCGTACGAGCTACAAGATGTAAATGGATTCAGTTCGTCCACGTCTCCTGCGAGGACCTTGGAAAGTTCAAAGAAACTACCGCCACGCCTGTTAAAGATACGATCGAGGAGAACGAGGAGAAACACAAGTTGGAAATTGAGTTGTGTAAAGCAGCGGATGCAGTTGTCGCTGTCGGCTCACGTCTACAACAGAAGTACAGCAGAAGTCTACCAAATGTGAAAGTGGAGATCATCACTCCTGGAATTACGGGAAAGTTTTGCAACGAATCGATAGAATCAGGAGAACATGCTGGTTTATCATCGAGGACGTTGAATAACATGTTCATGAAGACATTCCACGTCTTCATGTTCGGCCGAGCAAACTTTGAAGACCTTACGTTAAAGGGTTATGATATAGTAGCAAATGCCATAGGCTCCCTTGGAGCGGAATTTGAGCTCACATTTGTTGGCTCTTCTCCTGGTGACCACCGAAACGTAGAGCAATGGTTTCTCCAGAAAACATGCATCAAACGTAAGCAGATTACCATTCGTGGTTATTGCACTAAACAGGATGAACTGAAAGGAATGTTCCACCAATCAGACCTGGTTGCTCTTCCTTCACGTACAGAAGGATTTGGATTAGTTGGCCTGGAGGCCATTTCTTGTGGTGTTCCTGTTCTTGTATCTGGTGAATCTGGTTTGGCTGAGGCTTTGCAAGGTGTACAAGGTGGAAATGATGTTATTGTAAAATCAGATGACGATGCGGTTGAATGGGCACGGAGGATAAGTGAGGTGTCTAGCCAAAGTCTAGAAGAGAGACAAAGCAATGCCAGAGAGCTCAGAGAGAACTACAGGAAGGTTTACCCTTGGAGAATGGAATGTGAGAGGTTCAAAGGGCTAATTGAAAATGTTGTGAAAACTGCAAATGGTAAGCCCACTTCTTTTCATTTTATTTTTTGTGCAGTACACTTGCTGAAATGTTATGCTGCATGTATTGTATGAAGCTAAACCTTAGGTTTAGACCGAGCCACATAAGATAAACTGAATACTGGTACATGTAGATAAGCACAGGTAAAGTACACCTGTCTGTCCTGAGTGGTTACAGTTATCTAGAATTGTGGTTGGACTACAAGTGTTCAAGTGCACTGCCTTTTTGAGTTTTTTTTTTTTTTTTGTATAAAAAAGATAACTATATGCAGAGTGGTATTTTGCTTACCCCAGTCAGATTGTAGCATTAGAGTATGTATCTCACACCAATCAGATTACCACATTAGGGTATGTATCTTGCGCCAATCAGATTGCTACATTAGGGTATGTATCTTGCATCAATCAGATTGCTGCATATGGGTATGTATCTTGCACCAATCATATTGCTGCATTAGGGTGTGTATCTGGCACCAATCAGAGTGCTGCATAAGGGTATATATCTTGCACCAATCAGATTGCTACATTAAGGTATGTATCTTGCATCAATCAGATTGCCGCATATGGGTATGTATCTTGCACCAATCAGATTGCTGCATTAGGGTGTGTATCTGGCACCAATCAGAGTGCCGCATAAGGGTATGTATTTTGCATCAATCAGATTGCTGCATTAGGGTATGTATCTCGCACCAATCATATCACAGCATTTGGATACCTTGCACCAATCACAGTGTTTGGGTATTGTTTTCATACAAATGATGTTATGGGATTAGAGGGCTGTGCACAAAGAATGGCATTTACCAGAAATTTTGAGCTCATTTGATAAGTGCAGTGGTTTGTGGCCTTTGCAAGAGCCTCGTCAATTAAGATTGAGTTTTTTTCAGGATATGAATGGCTCACATTTTACTTTTTATATAATTTTTAAGTTAAAACATGTTTTATCCTCTACTGTGGCCACAATGCACACTCCAAAAAACTTTCTTTCCTTTATCTACCATGAAGACAACCATTTCACTATGTGAGCATTGGTAATTTTTCACATGCCTGAATGGTATTCCACCAATCAAATTCCATTTTGCCACAGTAGACATTGCTCCATCACATGTCATTTCTTATAAACAACCTGCATTTTATTACATATTCTAACCACATTGTCCAACTCCACCAAAAGGAATTCACATGGAAGTAAATAGGACTGACAGTAAACTTTCCACACAAATCTCCCATGTTTTTACTTAACCCAATTGCAAGTCAGTTGCTCATAAACAATCTGTATTTTTTCATGTATTTCACACACAGAGGGCAACAACCAATCAAGGAAACTGTAATCTTTTAGATCAATCAGAATTTTGATGCTACTATGGAATGAGATAAAGATGTAAAAGAAACTGAAACTGAAGTGCTCAATAGATATACTGTATGTGGTAATCTCTTCATTGGTAACAAGCTCTTTGTTTGATTGGTGTTGCGTCATCGTCATGTCCTCGCATTTTTAGTGGTTAATTAGGTAAGAGGTGAAAAAACCTTTTTATATTAGGATTAAATTTGACTGTTACAATTTAACAGGTGGTGAAATGAATATTAAGGTTGATGTGGATGACTTGAAACCTGAAGAACAGAATGTGCAGACTGGCATGTTGGCAACAGAGTCTGTCAGATGTCAAGAGGTTCAGCAGCCTAGGGCATCTGCTACATCAGCTGCATCTGGAAGTGTGTCTTATCAACAGACAGAAGATCTCCATGCTCTTAAAGTGAAAACCTTTCTATCAGTTATTAAAGATTCTTTCTACAACACAAATCCACAGTCCATTGAAGAGTGCAATTGGTTTATGGAATACGCACAAAAAATGAGGCTGATCATAACTGGTGTTGATGATGGAAGTTTGGTGATAACAGTGAAGTGTGAATCTCTAATGATCTTGGAGGAGTTGTGGACAGATTACTCCTCTGGTCATCTTGGTGAAGTTGTTCAAAATTGTTTTGTAACTGAAAAGATCTTGAAGGAACTAAACCTGGCTGAGTTGAGGCTGAAGACAACAATGGACATAGAGGAGTACAATGCATGCAAAATGTTCTTTGAGAAAGATGCACTTAGAGGTTGGTAGAAAGAATGTAGACTAAGGTTTTGAATGAAATCCATCCGTCTTTCAACAAGGAGTATGGTAGGGTACATGTCATGAAGGGATGGGTCCAGTTTTTTATCAAGATTGATGGAACTTGTCTCATGAATAAACTCATGCTGACTACAGTATGTAAACCATGCCAATGCAAGAAGTTATTTATTTGCAAGACATTTCATTTGTGTTTTGTTCTTCTCTAACATCCCCTCCCCAGTAACTTGTTATCTTTCCTACTAAGACATCTGGCTTGATATGTTTTCCTCTCCATAGGGTTGTATTTGTCTTTCCTTAATATATTAGACTACATACATCACTCAAAGATTAATTGGCAAGAGGTTTTTTGGAGGGGCTATAAAAGATAATTTTACTAGTTTTTGTTTGTTGGGTGTTTTTATGGTTTACAGTGCTTGTCTTCTTGTAAATATGATTTTAGGTGTTTTATCCTCTGAATTCCACTCCACAAGTTCTACCAGTGAAAGTCCACAAAAAAAAGAACAGTGCGGAAAAAGTGAACAGAAAACAAAGATGGAGACAGTGAAATTGGAAGGTAAAAAGGAAATGAAAAATATTTTTTAAAGTTATTATGGGAAGTTGTTGTGAACAGTAATAATAATTATGTGATAAATCTTTAAAGAATTATCTCAGTGCATTAATGTGGCATCAATAAATTTAATATAATTGTACACAGTTCCATTTATGGGAACAAAATATTTGAAGAGAGGCTGTGATTGCTAATCTCTCTCTGGATTTTTTACCTTAAGGTACTTCACCCCTCACTGTAGTATCCACCACTGGTCATGGAAAAGAACGAGAAGAACCAAGGGGAAGGAAAGGTGAACAGGATGTTTAGTTTGAACTTATTTTTCAAGTTAATGTAATTAAAATATGGTCCTTCATGTTGGTTGTGATTTTCCCTTTGTTAATTGGGGAAGAAACCCACTTTTAAGTTGATTTAGTTGATTTCAACTGAAACCAAACATGTTGAAATGAATGAAAAGATGCTGGGTTTACCTCTTTTATTTGTTTTCGTTGACTCATTGAAGTCTAGTGTAGGTTCCAGTTTCGTTTCTTTTCCCCCTGACATGCTCCAAATAAAGGAAAACAACATGGCAGATTACTGACTTGTTTTTTTGATGCATTGATATTGAAGAAATGGAAGAATTCATAGGTGCATAAATTGACCAAAAAAGCTGTAGGAGTGAAGTTATGAAGCTGTCAGGATAAGAAAGGAGAAATGAAAAACAACCTGAATGAGATTTTAGTCATCTTTTGAAATAGCCATTAATGTTATTAATAACCAAGAATGCTTCTGTCAGCAATCATGAAAAATGATACTAGTCAATGCAAATTATTTCCAAGGTGTTTTTGCCTCATTCTCTTCTCTAGTTAAAGAGAGTGCTGAGTTTCCATGTAACAAGGAAACATTACATACATGTAGACTGAACACTTTTTGTGTTGTTCTCAATTTTTTTTTTCGGGTTTCTAAACTTATTGGTTTAAAAAAGGCAATCTATCGGGTACGTGTACCTATCTTTAAATACAAGCTGGTATGCTTGTTTCTAACTATTTACCTGAAGAAAAGTCACTGAATGCTAATCTCTCTCTGTATACCTTTGGTTTTAGACACTTTTCCTCTCCTTATATCTTCCACCTCTGATCCTGAAGAAGAACTAGAACTAGGAGAGTTACGTGTGAAACCTCCAATAATGAAAGGTGAATAAAAGATGCTGTTAAAGGCTTAAATATTTTAAAATAAAACCTAAATGTTGTCGACACTAGGTCATCATCTAGGTGATGATGACCCAGTGTCGAAAATGTTTCGTTTCTACTTTTTTTAATATTTTAGCCATGTAAATCGCTCAATGTCAGTAAATGTTTTCGTATTTTTTCCAGTAATTACTCTCAAGAGAACCTGTCATTTAACTTCTATCAAAGAATGCTGTGAAATGCTTTCAGCTGTTATTCAGTAACTTGCAGTACAGCTCGGAGGTAGATGGCCAATGCACACGCAAAACCTTTGCACGTTTTTCGCGTTTGCGCAATAAAGCGTGTGTTAAAGCGTGTCCTAAGTGCACTTTTATTGTTATTCAACGTAGTCAGCTGGCTTTGTTCTGCATTGTTTCGGAAAACTAAGGTTTTCTGTCTCAAAATGCTGCCACCGAAGCATCAAATCAAGATGTGCATATCTCAGCACCAAAGGACGCAATGGCTGCCGTTCCAATGAAACGTTGAAAGGACTTGTCATGATTCGACTAGTATTTCGTAAAATGAGTTTTTGAAAGGTTTTAAGATGTGAATAATTTACCTGATTCCAGTCTGATAACTTTTTCTTAACAATTTGAAATCACCATTAGAGATGCGACTCCATCAAGAAGTTTGCTGTATCGACTGGTGCCCGTATGGCTTGTTTACTTTTATTCGGCGCTAAAATATTTCTTAGTTTTCATTTAAATAATCTAATTGTGTCCTACAGTTCGTCTCACGTTTGAGAGTCATCGGCTTCACGCTAGATTTTTGCGTCGCGGAGAACTTAAATATGCAAATCAACCCAGTTTTCGAATACATGACTTATAAGCGAAGGAATAAAGGGGTAAGTTTCTAAAGAAACTATGGTGCTGCGTCGGTGGGAGAGTATAGCAGGTAATTTAGTGTTAACAACTGAGTTGAAAACGTAAATTAGCCACCGTAAAGGGTAAAAAAGGTGACGTTTCTAAAAAGTTGCCTTAAAAAAAAACAGGCAACTTTTAAGTCGGAGTTCATTTTAAACCAATGGCCAATCTGGAACTTTTAAATGCGCTCGCTCACGATGCAAAACTTGACCTTTCATTCATAACGTAGAGAAAATATCGGGACCCAAGAGATCCATTAAGATCACTGATCACTTTACGTGTACCTCCGCTAATGTTATTTACTGCATAACTTGCACTTATTGCAATAAGTTATACATCGGCGAAACAGGAAGACGACTAGGTGACCGATTCCCGAGAACACCTTCGCGACGTGGAAAGAAATGACAAGGACGCATCCAAACCAGTCGCTAGACACTTTAATCTTGCTAATCATTCTAAACAGCATATGGCAGTTTGCGGCCTTTCCTTACATCTAGGCAGTTCGGAAAGCCGTAAAACAATAGAACAAAAATTTATCTTCCAAATCGGCATCATGCCAAAGTAGCTCACGTTCAGATGAGAGTCGAGTACAACGCTGTGTTGGTGGTGAGCGGAGTTATGTTCAATTTTGATGGTAATAAATCGCTCAACATTTCAGACAATAGTCGTCAGTTTGCCCAAGGAACTACAGAGCTATCTCAGCTACTTATTAATGAGTCAGCCAAACTTGACATTACCATTGACATTTACATTGTCAAAATAAGCTTTATTGGTTTTCAAACATATGTACAGTTATCTATATTCTGTGCTAAGATTTTTGAGAAATGCTGAGTTTGTTTAATGGTCAAGGGATTTTTTTTTTTACCCAGATTTGTGATCTTGTGGTGGGTTTGCTCTTCCTCAGTAGACCTGGTATAATTATACAATCATCAAATGACCTGCGCGGTCTAATACCTATTCTAAATAAGAAAAAAAAAATGATTTATAAATAAACCCCTTTTATGAGGGCCGTGTGAGGTTGTGCGAGCTGAGTGCAGACTCTGGGATCGCAGCCTGCACTTCTCTATCATTAATATACCACTTTGTCAAGTGAAAACCGCCTTTCTCTGACAACCTCAGCAGTTGACTCGCTAAAATTGACTGCTTTCTCATCATGTCATCCACATGCATGTTACGCTTCATTTTCGCTTCTACTTTTGCATCAAGCCCTCTTGATTCAACTGGGCTGTCTTCCTAGGACAGAAATTAGCAACGCTTGGTGAAGATGTAGCACCAAATAGATGTTTCACCATTTGATACTCTTCCATTCTTTTGTTAGGTCCCCATTCGGCCCCCATGAAAATCTGTTAAGATTTAAAAAGTGTCAATCTTTTTGGTCCACCAGGCATTGGTGAAACATTGCTTCTATGTCAGCAACTTATCCAACTGTTTCTTGTCTGTATCGACTTAAGACACCTACGAGTTTATCTGTCTGATCCGGGCTCTGCAGCTCCTGCTCATCTAGTGATATTTGTTCAAATTTTGCCGCACAATCGTGAACCACCCTCACCTTGCCGGGCTTGGAGGGATGTGTTACTGGGTGATGAGGGAGGTACCACACTGGTTTATCCCTTATGTTCAACTCTTTTTGCATGTCTTCTTTCCATAAAGTCGTTAATTGTTGTCCGATTCTTCCTCAACAATTGTTTATCCTTCATAAGACACGTCTTAAAAAATAGAGCTCTTTACTCTGCCATCGCCTTGTTGTTGAGTTTGTATGGTGGGTCGTGTCGCCAATACAAGGTAACTTGAAAGTGTCCATTGACTTGCTGCAGGATCCCTTCCATCATCATAAGAGCTCTCTTATCTTCGACTGGTGCGCAAACTTTGGTCTCTACTTCTGTGATTTCAAGGTCTGTTTACCATAACCTTTCTAACTGCTAGTTTAATTCTTCATTACGAATTTCCCATTCACTTTTGCTGTCCAATAAAATACTGGAGTTCTGAATATTTATCAGTGGATTCTTCTAAAGGACCTCGGCGTATTGCATCATCATCTGATCTCTCATTAAGTCTTCCACCTGTAATCATTAGACTAGCACACATTTCCAAATTCCAAGATGGGAAACTGTCATGAACAATAGGACTCTCTATGGTACATGTGAAATTTGCTGACCAATTTAGGTCATCCTTTTGGCTGTCAACAGGACCAATTACAGTAATTCATGGACTATATCTAACCGCGACTAGTTTATCTTCTCTTCCTGCCTTGTACTCTAACGGAAGAAACAAATTTGGCTTCTCCTTGAAACCAACCATTGAGAGGTACCCGGTTTCAGCTATGACAACTAAGTAACTTACTTGAATTCACTATAATCATCTGTGTACTGGTGATAGGATTGAGTGGAGTCTGATTCGGTCTCTTAATGATAGTGTACTCAATCATGTTGTGGATCACTACACATACTTTTTAGTTGGAAGTAACCCTAAAAGTACCCTCGCCTTTGAATTGGTTCCATTGCGCTATTATGATGTCCCAAAATTAAATTAAATCTCTGAAGATTTCTTTAGTGCTTTTTGTTCTATTTCTGACCAATGCCACCATGAATAAGATACGAGGGGAATTACAATTCATGTTAGTTCCGTCACGTCATCAGACAAACTTTTCAAGTGTTATTTTAATCAAGACTGGAATGCCAACAAAAACGGTTAGGTTTAATCTAAAAGATGAAAAACGACAAGAATCATATTGAAGGGTTTTAATATCTTAGTATGCCTTCACGATGTTTAAAAAGTTTGTGTTTTAATCCATTAAAAAAGGTCACGGTAAGGGTAAGCCGACTGACTGAACAGTTTGTCATTATTTTTGCCTTTTCACTTTCAAAGTAATAGCCAAGAGAGATACCCAAAACAGAAGTGATCTGGATACACAAAACGTGGGGATACCCGAAAATACTGTGACAGCGCAAGTTTCGGAATGTTGGGAAAACTAAATGTTTTTGTTGTTTCAAAAGCATCAGCTATATGGTCAACATCTTAGTAATAATACTCCAGTTTTATTACCTATAATTATTAGTCACTCTAGAGAAGTAGGGCTCTCATGGGAAAGCCATATGAATGCTTTTCCAATTTTTATGTTTGCATATCACGTTGTGAAGAATCGAAATTGCAGAATCTGATGGTTTTGACAATCACGCTATTTTTTATTTTTAACCAAATCTACTTACTCCATTGCTGATGTCATAGGATAATGGCCGTGTAAGAGTTCGTGGTTTTCCAGCGGTTGTAATTTGCATTACTAATTAACTTGACCTCGTTTACTTGTTGTTAAAGCACCAAAGTCCTGGGTAAGAAGATAAGTCAGCCGAGGACGCTTAAAGCTCACAAAGAAAGATAATGTATTTTCTGTGAGGAACAGAACGTTACTTGACTGATTTCCTATAATCTTGTCATGGTGTTATTGATCAGAACGCTTACTTTTCAGATGGATGTAGGCCATTAATTTGGTTCGATTCCTTTGCTAGGCTATACAATAAACCAAACAACTTTGGTTTAAAATCTAAATATTTTTTTGGTGCTATTTAACTAACTCTTGGTATATGCCCGCATAAATTGGGAAAAAAAAGGATTTTTTTTTTGTTTGCTTCGGTCACGTCATCAGCCACACTTTTGTGAATTAGATTACTGCTAAAATTTTTAACCGAAACATTTGTGGATACTCTAAAAGATCAAAAACGTGCAGAATCGTATTGTGTAGTTCTAACATTAGACAAGATGTTTGAAATTTTTTTTATCTCTTCCGTGCAATAATACACTTGAAATTTATGGCATGGGTTGGCCTCATTAGTGAGAGAAGTTTAGGAATGTAGGAAAAAGTGTCATCTGATTTTCATTGTATTTGGCGTTTCACTTTCAAAGGTATCAGCTGCAAGGTCAATAATTTTATCAGTCTTTATCGTAACTTTAGCTTTAACTTTACGGTCTCATATGGGATATGTAACTTTTTATTGCAGAGGCATGCATGAATGTTTTTTTAGTCATGTCCTGTCCTGTGACTATTAAGTCATGTTATGTTGTGCAAAAATCGCCATCGGGTGAAATGAATTCGTCACAAAGCCGGAGTTCGTCAAACTTCTGTGGCTTCACATATTGTTCATCGTTCTCATCAGCTAAGGATAGATTCGTTTTCAGTGATATTCATCTAATAAGTAAGCTCGTTACTTGGTAATAGCTTGCTACAACAATATTTTCAAATGTTCCATGCCATATTGCGGAATGTCAGGAAATCTTCTAGACAGTTGTGGTAAAAGGTTATCTTCCTTGTTAACCTAAGAGTTGAAATGCTTAAAACGTGAATGCATTTAGCTTGATCCCATTAGGCTTTATTGTAAATACCTTCTGACAGCCAGTAGAAATACAGATGGAAAATGAAGCATTATATTGATACTGCAGACCACTCTCTGCTGGTTTCTTTGCGGAATACTGGCAATACAACATCATTGATTCCCCAAGATTATCAAATGCTCTAATAAAGGGCTAAGGCTCGAAACGTCAGCTTCAGAAACTCATTACGATGGCCAATTTAGACTGTCAACTCAGTTGGTAAAGCCAAATTATTCTGTAATACCCCACCATAGTTTCTTCAGAAACTTACCCCGTTGATTAATGTTGTTTATAGAAATTATGCATGGGGAAAGTTCTCATAGAAAAAGTTAAAATAAATTCTGTTTTGTCTATCTTCGTTCTGTGACTTTAAAGTCGTGTCGTGTCATGCAAAAATCAAGTAACCTTTCATTTAAGTGTAGTGACTCATTATGAATCCAGATTATCAACTCATTTAGTATTGTGTTACTAAAAAATAATGTTTCCCTGATAACAGAAGATGATGGTAATGGAAACCGAACCGGCAGGAGACTGTTTGTCTTAAACAGCAAGTCTGGAGTTATGCTTTATAAACTTGGCGACAAGCGAAAAGCGAAAGAGTATGTTGAGAGGGCCCTTGCCATAACAACCGAAATTGGTGACAGGAGCGGAGAAGCATCCTGTTACGAAGACCTTGGAGTGTTGCTTCAGTCGTTCGGTGAATGTAACAAGGCTAAAGAGTATCTCCAAAAAGCGCTTGCCATCAGAACTGAAATTGGCGACAGGAAAGGAGAGGCAGCTGACTATGGAAACCTAGGTACTGTGTTTCTGTCGCACGGCCAATACGACAAGGCTAAAGAGTATCTCCGAAAAGCGCTTGACATCAGAACTGAAATTGGCGACAGTGAAGGAGAGGCAGCTGACTACGAAAACCTATGTACTGTCTCTCTGTCGCTCGGCCACTGCGACAAAGCGAAAGAGTATCTCCAGAAAGCACTTGCCATCAGAATTAAAATTGGTGACAGACAAGGGGAAGCATCATGTTATGGAAACGTAGGTGGTGTGTTTCAATCACTCGGGCAATACGACAAGGCTAAAGAGTACCTTCAAAAAGCGCTTGGAATCAGAACTGAAATTGGCGACAGCGAAGGAGAGGCATCTGACTACGGAAACCTGGGTACTATGTTTAAGTTGCTCAGGCAATACGACAAGGCGAAAGAGTATCTCCAAAAAGCGCTCGTCATCACAACCGAAATTGGCGACAGAAGAGGGGAAGCATCCTGTTATGGAAACCTAAGTAGAGTCTTTCAGTCGCTCTGGCAATACGACAAGGCTAAAGAGTATCTCCAGAAAGCGCTTGTCATCAGAACTGAAATTGGCGACAGAGAAGGAGAGGCATCTGACTACGGAAGCCTGGGTACTATGTTTAAGTCGTTCGGGCAATACGACAAGGCTGAAGTGTATCTCCAGAAGGCGCTTGTCATCACAACTGAAATTGGCCACAGAAAAGGGGAAGCATTATGTTATGCAAACTTAGGTACTGTGTTTCGGTCGCTCGGGCAATACAACAAGGCTGAAGAGTATCTCCAGAAAGCACTTGACATCAGAACTGAAACCGGCGACAGAAGAGGGGAAGCATCATGTTATGGAAACCTAAGTACTGTCTTTCAGTCGCTCGGGCAATACAAAAAGGCTAAAGAGTATCTCCAGAAAGCGCTTGTCATCAGAACTGAAATTGGCGACAGAAAAGGAAAAGCATCATGTTATGGAAACCTAGGTACTGTTTTTCTGTCGCTGGGAGAATATGACAAGGCTCAAGAGTATCTCCAAAAAGCTCTTGGCATCAGAACTGAAACTGGCGACAGAAGAGGGGAAGCATCATGTTATGGAAACCTAAGTAGTGTGTTTCTGTCGCTTAGGCAATACGACAAGGCTAAAGAGTATCTCCAGAAAGCGCTTATCATCAGAACTGAAATTGGCGACAGAAAAGGAGAAGCATCATGTTATGGAAACCTAAGTAGTGTGTTTCTGTTGCTCGGGCAATACGACGAGGCTAAAGAGTCTCTCCATAAAGCACTTGGCATCAGAACAGAAACTGGTGACAGAAGAGGGGAAGCATCATGTTATGGAAACCTTAGTAGTCTTTCTCAGTCGCTCGGGCAATATGACAAGGCTAAAGAGTATCTCCAGAAAGCGCTTGTCATCAGAACTGAAATTGGCGACAGAGAAGGAGAGGCATCTGACTACGGAAACCTGGGTACTTTGTTTGAGTCGCTCGGGCAATACAACAAGGCTAAAGAGTATCTACAGAAAGCACTTGTTATCACAACTGAAATTGGCCACAGAAAAGGGGAAGCATTATGTTATGGAAACCTAGGTACTGTGTTTTGGTTGCTCGGGCAATATGACAAGGCGAAAGACTATCTCCAAAAAGCGCTTGGCATCAGAACTGAGACTGGCGACAGAAGGGGGGAAGCATCGTGTTATGCACACCTTGGTACTTTGTTTCTTTCGCTCGGGCAATACGACAAGGCTAAAGAGTATCTCCAGAAAGCGATTGTCATCAGAACTGAAATTGGCGACAGGAAAGGGGAGGCGTCATGTTATGGAAACCTAGGTACTGTGTTTCTGTTACTCAGGCAATACGATAAGGCTAAAGAGTATCTCCAAAAAGCTGTTGGCAACAGAGAAAGAGAGGCAACGGACTATGGAAATCTTGGTACTGTTTTATAGTCGGTAGGGCAATAGAACAGGGCTGAGGAGTATCTCCAGAAAACGCTTGTGAACAGAACTGAAATTGGCGACAGAAGAGGGGAAGCATCATGGTATTGAAACGTAGGTCCTGTGTTTCTGTTACTCAGGCAATACGACAAGACTAAAGAGTATCTCCATAAAGTGCTTGCCATCAGAACTGAGATTGGCGGCAGAAAAGGGGAAGCATCATGTTATGGAAGCCTAGGTACTGTTTTTCTGTCACTGGGGGAATACGACTAAGCTAAAGATTACCTCCAAAAAGTGCTTGGCATCAGAACTGAAATTGGCACAGCGAAAGGGAAGCATCTGACCATGGAAACTTGGTTACTATGTTTAAGTGGCTAAGGCAGTACAACAAGGCTACAGAGTATCTCCAAAAAGCGCTTGTCATCACAACCGAAATTGGCGACAAAAAAGGGAAGCATCATGTTATGGAAACCTAGCTACTGTGTTTCGGTCGCTCTGGCAATACGACAAGGCTAAAGAGTATCTCCAGAAAGCGCTTGTCATCAGAACTGAAATTGATGACAGAGAAGGAGAGGCATCTGACTACGGAAATCTTGGTACTGTGTTTCTGTCGCTCGGGCAATACAACAAGGCTAAAGAGTATCTCCAGAAAGCACTTGCCATCAGAATTGACACTGGTGAAAGAGTATCTCCAGAAAGCGCTTGTCAACAGAACTGAAATTGGCAACAGAGAAGGAGAGGCAACTGACTAGGGAAATCTTGGTACTGTGTTTCTGTCGCTCGGGCAGTACGACAAGGTTAAAGAGTATCTTCAGAAAGCACTTGCCATCAGAATTGAAATTGGTGAAAGAGAATCTCCAGAGAACGCTTGTCAACAGAACTGAAATTGGCGACAGAAAAGGGGAGGCATAATGTTATGGAAACCTAGGAACTGTGTTTCTGTCGCTTGGGCAATATGACCAGGCTAAAGAGTATCTCCAAAAGGCACTTGTCATCAGAACTGAAATTGGTGATAAGGAAGGAGAAGCAGCAGATCTAGCAAACCTTGGAAATGTGTCTAGAACTGTTGGAGATTATGAAGCTTCGGAAGTATGCTTGGAGAAAGCTTTTTCCATGTCCAGAGATATCGGAGATAGAAGAAAAGAGTCTCCTTCAAATCCTTCAAGGCTACTGTATCTATTTCAAAATAAAATAAAAGAATCCCTTTCGTGTCTTCATCTGTGCATTGGAAAGTATGAGGAGAAAAGGGAAACCTAGGAGCGGTCGCGCGACATCGCGACAACCTACAAGCATTAGTAAAAGAAGTAGACGCGCTTAAACTAAGGGTTGAATAGACCATGTTCGAGGCCGGGAAAAGTGGAGAAGACGTTGGAAGTTGGAGCAGTAGCATTGAAGAACCGATCGTCGAAGCTGACGAAGAAGTTTCGCGACAAGAAAAATGGCTCGTGGAGACGAATGGAGAGATCGAACATCGAAAGCAAAAGGACGAAGAAGAAAGGAAAGCCCGTGCTCGTGAAGAGGAGCTTAAATTCGAAAGAGAGCAAATGGAGATGAAGCTAGAATTCGAACGCCAACTGGAAGAGACCAAGGCAAAACAGCAACCTATTGAGAAGCCTAATCAGAGTGAACAAAGGACGACAAAGCCACCGAAACTACAGATCACAAAGTTTAATGGGACGTATGAAGCATGGCTGCCGTTCTGGAACAAATTTCAAGCTGAAATTGATAAAGCAAACCTTGCATCTGTGACCAAGTTTGCTTACCTAAAAGAGCTGGTAGATCCAAAGGTTCGAGCGGAGATAGACGAACTGCCTTTCACAACAGAGAGCTACGAGAGGGCAAAGAATATCCTCATCAGCGAATATGGGAAAACGAGCGAGATGGTAAATGCGTACGTCCAGAACATCGCGAATTTGCCTGTCATAACAGGAACACAACCTGCGCCTATCCACGAATTTTACAAGAAGCTCGTGTACAATGTGCAATCTTTGGAGACACTGGGCAAATTGAAAGACGTGACTGGAAATGTAAGGAGTGTGCTCGACAAACTAAAGGGTGTAAAAGCAGATCTAGTGAGAGGACAAATTGACTGGCAGGACTGGGACTTCCCACAGTTGATAAAAGCTTTGAAAAGTTGGAAGGAAATCAACTCCATTGTGAGCGGCGCGGATAATGCGGGGAAGCAAGGTGCTAAATTCTGCGATCGCGAAAAAATATTTCACGCAAAAGAAACTACGCCAACACAAATAGGGTGTGTCTACTAGGACGCAACTGACCACAGAGCTGTAAATTGTAACAAGTTTGTGACAGTTGGAGACCGCAGGAAGCAATTAGGTCTGAAACAGCTGTGTTTTAATTGCACAGAAAGTCGACACCGCGCTTCTGAGTGCAAATACCGTTCTGGCTGCCAGATCTGCAGCCGAAGACATCATACATCGATCTGTGACAAACATACTTCGCGAGACTAGCTGATGACCACAACGAGGGTAGAAAGGAAAGGAGTGGTGTATCCTATGGTTACAGTTGACGTGAATGGTGTTAAGTGCCGAGCATTGTTGGATACGGGAGCCGGAAGTTCCTACGCTGCATCAACGCCTCTGGACTGTTTACATTTGCGCCCTATCCGTCAACAATTCAAGCGCATTGAAATGATGTTTGGTACTTCAAACAAAGCGATAGACATCTATGGCCTACAAATTCGAAGCGTTGATGGTAAATTCACTCTGGAAGCCGAAGTAAACAAAGTCGACCGCAAAAAGTTGTTGACATTGGAAAACCCAAAATGCGCAGAAATCGTAGGTCAGTTTTCTCATTTGAAGGGCGTAACCACAAATGATAACGACGAGGAAGCGATGTTGCCCGTTCATCTGATCCTTGGAACAAACGAGTACGCTAAGATCAAAACAGGGGCAAGACCAAGAGTTTGGCGCTCGGGAGAACCAGTAGCAGAATATACGAAGTTCGGCTGGACGATCTTGTCACCTGGAACGAAGTTGGATCTCAGCAACATGTTATTAACGCAGAATTCCGCAATTGATTACGATTGTGAAGGTTAGACGTCTTTGGGCTAAAGGATAATCCAAGTGGAGACCAGGAAACCGTTTACGAAGAATTCAAAGAGCAACAAACCAGGAGTTCAGAAGGCTGGTACGAGACGAGCTTGCCCTGGAAAGGAAATCATCCCCCCCCTACCGAACAATCACACTGGAAGTTTAAAACGTCTCAAAAATCTCGTGCGGAAGTTAGAGATGCAAGGCGAGCTGGAAAGATACAACGACATTATCTAGACTCAACTGAGTCAAGGGATCGTAGAACGCGCACGAGGTGGTCAAGGACGGAAAAGAGTTCTACATTCCTCATAAAGCGGTCGTGCGCAAGAATGCAGAATCTACAAAGATACGCACAGTTTATGATGCTTCTGCAAGAGCAAATGCAAGTTTCCCTTCACTCAACGAGTGTCTCGAAGTCGGCCCTCCACTACAGAACCAGCTTTGGAACGTGCTGGTACGAAATAGGTTCTATCCCGTGGCAATAGCTGGCGACTTAAAACAAGCATTTTTGCAAATTCGCGTCCTAAGAGAAGACCGAGATGCCTTACGCTTTCATTGGATAAAGGATCTGGCAAGCAAACAAGTAGAAACCTTGCGATTCACTCGAGTACTCTTTGGTTTGGCACCGTCTCCATTCCTCTTGGCCGCAGTTATCGAAGAACATCTACAGCGATACAAAATGGTGAACCCGGAATTAGTAGAGGAGATAGAGCGCAGTAACAATCTTTGGTGAGGCGACTTTCAAGCTACACAAGTGGCATTCCAACGATCGGGAGCTAGAAGTTGAAACTGCGACTTTAGATGAAGAAAGTCAGAGTTACGCCAAACAACAACTGGGAACCAGAAAGGGCGAATCAAAACTGCTAGGAGTCCCCTGGGACAAAGAAAAGGACGAAAGTCAGCTTCCCGATTTCAACCGCTGAGCCGACAAAAAAGGGTATCCTTGGAAAAGTCGCAAAAATCTACGATCCACTCGGTCTGGCTGCACCCGTGACCCTCTCTGGAAAAATGCTCTACAGAGATGCCTGCGACACGGAGATCGCGTGGGATAGGCCCCCACCAAGTGACTCATAAAGCCAAATGGAAGAAATGGGAGCAAGGACTTCCAGAGCACGTGAACGCGCCAAGAAATGTCCTGAAGCATGTAGGGAAGATTTTATCAATCGACTTACATACATTCGGGGACGCAAGCGGGAAAGGAGTTGCAGCCGCGGTTTATGCAGTGGTGGAGCAACCATTAGACACGAATCAAGGCCTTGTGACGGCAAAGTCGCGGCTCGCGAAGAAAGGACTCACGATTCCCCGATTAGAACTAGTGGCTGGACATGTGGCTGCGAACCTAGTACAAAATGTGAAAGAAGTCCTGAAGGGTTTTCCCTTAAGAAGTGTCTATGGTTGGCTGGATAGCACAGTAGCACTGCACTGGATCCGTGGCAATGGCGAATACAAACGGTTCGTGGGAAATCGAGTGAGGAAGATCCAGGAAAAAGAGATCAACTGGAGGCATTTACCAACAGAGGAGAATCCAGGGGACGCTGGGAGTCGGGGAGGAGATGCTGGGAGATTGACAGCTCTTTGGTGGCAGGGACCAAGCTGGTTAGCAACGAGCTAGAGGCCTATTAAACTTGATGGCAGAGAAATACTCGGTTGAAACGCACATCTCTGCTAATCCACAATCTTGGTTTGACATTGAGAACATTTTTAGAAAGAAAAATAACTGTACTTGTCTGTACATTTCTTATTTTCACAATCATCTGCATTTGTGAATCTTGAAAACAAGTGGAGTCCTTCATTATAGAAGATTATCACTAAAAAAGAATCTAGTTCAGGCTGAGTTGCCCAAAGATTTGCCTTGGAGTAAATTTTTGGCTGATAACACGGAGTCTTGGTATTGTGCCCATTGAAGATTGTGAAGATCGCTGTTTAAATATGGTTAAATTGCAACCTCTCTCCCTCGAACAAAAGAGCTTAGCAAGATTGCGTCTCGTGGAGGAGGAGGAAGTCATTTCAAGTCCATCCTTGTGTTACAAAATGTTTATTGCTCCCGTTTATGATTTGCTTGAGGAACCTGACGTCATCATCGTTTCTGACTGCTGTTTGTCCAAAGTTCCCTTTGCTACACTGAGTGAAAAGGGGGGAGCCGAATACCTCTCGGAGACTCGTAGGATCTGTTTCATTCCTTTTTTGACAACACTGAAGATTATTTTAGATAGTTCAGAGGGCTATCACAGCAACACTGGTGCCTTGGTCATAGGCAATCCCAAGGTTGATTGGCTGCTGCTATTGCCAGTTGCAAGAAAGGAAGCGGAGATGGTCGGACGACTGGTGGGTGTTGCGCCTCTGGTAGAAGAGGAATCAACGAAGCAGGCGGTGCTTGAGCGAATATCTTTAGTGAGCCTGATTCGCTTAGCTGCCTATGGTAACACCGAAAGGGGAGAAATTGCCCTCTCCCCCATGCCTACTTCCAACAGTCGAAATGCTATTCCTCCATAGGAAGCTTACTTGTTGACGATGGCTGATGTCCTACGAGTGAAAGTCAGAGCTAAATTAGTGGTACTTAGATGCTGTCACAGTGGAAGTGGAGAGATAAGAGCCGAGGGAGTTATAGGAATTGCCCGTGCGTTCTAAGAATTCAGTGCTCGCTCGGTGTTGGTTGCGCTGTGGGCCATTCCAGACTCAGCAACAGAGCAGCTGATGAGTCGGTTTTACGAACACCTTGTTGAGGGGGAAAGTGCCAGTGAAACCCTTCACCAGGCCATGAAGAGGATGAGAAAATTCGGCTTTAACAAAGTGTCTGAGTGGGCTTCGTTTACGCTGATTGGAGATGATGTGAGACTCGAGTTTGGCAAGCAGAGGTAAGACTCAGTCCGAAAAGATATTTCACAAATTAAAGTTAAATTAGATGTAACAGTGGCCGTGGTTCACTGGTCGCTGATTGTCGGCGAGGATCCTTTGTTACCTTAGTTCAGTATATATCCATATGTATATATATATATATTTTTTTTTCTTTTCGGAGAGTTACTATCGACGCTCTTTGGTGTAAATTATAGAATCTCGAAAGTGCCTCTACCAGTTTCATTCAAGTGTGAGCCATTTATATTTTTTACATATTGAGCTTGGTATAATTGTATTTGCTTTATATCCAGAATGTTAATTGAGTTATAAATAACTTGTTTTTTACTTTTTTACAGAAAAAGAGACGCCGAGAGATTAAATAACGAGAATTAAACGAAGGAAACAGAGCTAAAAGACTTTTCGATGGATAAATTAAATAGAAAAAAGTAGAGAAAATACTCTATCCGGTATTTCATGGAAATTAAAAACAAAGCTAACCCAGATTAGGGGAGATCTAGTTCAATTTTTTGTGCTTTTTTTTTTTCAATATTCTAAGAAGGATGCATTGGTTACGTTTTTTTTCTTTTCTTAACGCAAAAGTTATATTTCTGATATGATAAGCACAAAACAACGTTGACGTACGTAAGGCTTATGAGCAAAGCGAAATCAGTGAAGTTAAAACAGTAGTTTAGGTATAAAACGAACCACCAAACCTGGTTTGATTTTTTTTCCAAAGCCTTTTGTAAGGTTTAGTTAACAATACCTTCAATATTTGAAGAATGAATTTGATGTAGCATCTTAAAGGATCCTTGTCAACCACTCCTTTGTTTTTATTAACATACGGGTTATTGCGGAGAAATTCATTCATATTAACTCAACGCTTAGCAGAAGTCGTGCCGGCCCGTCAACACTTTTTACGTGGCTGAAAGAAAGGATTCGCATAAGGTGAAGCGTTACGCATCCTGAAAACAAATCTGACGCGGTGCACATTTAATAAAAAACGTACAGAGCTTAAAAATACAACTAAAGAAGGGTATAGAGGATACCTGACGATGTTCTGGAGAAATACATGTCTGGAGTTTTCTGCTCTAGTAGAGGAGGGTCACTTAGAAAACAAATAAAAACTGCCCCAGAAGAAAATATTGCTTTTGTAATGCAATATCACGTGGCTTTACGTAACCTCAAGAACATACTGATAGGGAATTGGCACCTTGTTCAAAATTACATCGGAAAAAAATCATCAAAAAATATCCTGGTCAGAAGTAATCTATGAAGACAGAAGTTTAAAATCGCTTGTGGATGGCAGGAGTGTCATGCCTTTTGTGATATGTACCCTGGGCGAAGCTTGTCGACGCTTTGATGCAGAAAAATCTCTGCATATTGGCTATTCTTCCTGTTATTCCACAAGTTGAAATTCTCGTCTGCTTCGTGGCTCTAGGCCTTCCATGTAAAGGAACACGAGATACCATTGATGGTTCCAGTTGTAAACAAGAATTTCTCAAGAAAATAGCGAGAAACTGCCACACAACTTCTCAGAATAAACCACTTATAATTTCAGAAGGCTGCCACGACAATTTTAGACTTCAAAAAAAATACATACATACATACATACATACATATATATATGTTATTTGCCGGCTGGGAGGTCCGTATGGTGAAAAACTGTGACCGAGGTCTTGGAAATACTGCCCGAGGCCTTAGGCCGAAGGCAGCATTTTCAAGACCGAGGTCACAGTTTTTCACCATACGGACCGACCCTTAGCCGGTAAATAACATATTTATTGTTTTTAAACTTGACGAAATTCTTTCCGAAAGAACCCGAATGATTTAGGGCTGAAAATACGACAAGATCTTCCATAAACTGAACAATTTTTGAGCGAGTAAATGGTAGTTAAAATAGAGGTGATGCAAATTAAAGAGAGATGCCTCAGCGAAACATTTTCATTTCCGTAACGATAAAGGTGATTTAAAAGGCTTCCAAACAAACTTTGAAACATTATTTTTACAAGTATCTGTCACAATCTGACACCTGTCGATTAGAGAGCGCGTAAGAAAAAAAAAAAATAAGAGCATTTGAAAAACAACAGAACTAGTTTGGCAAGGACTGTCACGACAATGTTTTCTTCAAAATCAGTCAATGATCTAACGGAAAGTATTCACTCTCATCGACG